AATGCGTTACGGCACACCTGTAAATGCGTTACGGCACACCTGTAAATGCGTTACGGCACACCTGTAAATGCGTTACGGCACACCTGTAAATGCGTTACGGCACACCTGTAAATGCGTTACGGCACACCTGTAAATGCGTTACGGCACATCTGTAAGTACGTTACGGCACATCTGTAAATGCGTTACGGCACATCTGTAAGTACGTTACGGCACATCTGTAAATGCGTTACGGCACATCTGTAAGTACGTTACGGCACACCTGTAAATACGTTACGGCACATCTGTAAGTACGTTACGGCACATCTGTAAAGGAAAATTTTTGACCTGTTTTTAAACCAAGTCAAAGCAGATATCTAAATATGTCGTAAAGTGTGTTAATATTTTGTCACTTGATTCTGAGTGAACATGATCCAACTGAAGTGAAATATAATTTCTCATTTTATACAGTACATGTGACCCATCATATAGAAATAAGGATTAAGTCCAATTTGTTCAAAAATGAACTAATTACATTTTCAGATTCCTGCTTTAAAAGCTACATTTTGATACCTGGATCATCCTGATATCATCAGTTTATCCAGAGATATGACAATTTGTCTTGTTGGTTATGATAACACATTACTGTTTGGTCTGAATCCTAATTTTATTGTAAATTTGAGTAATTTTTGATGTCAAAATAAAGAGGAAACCACAAATAGTATTTTTATATTAAGATTTCCCAGTTGGAAAGAAACAAAAACATTGCTAGCTCACTGGGTCTGAATCCTAATTTTATGTAAATTTATTGAGTCATTTTTGACGTCCTTATAAAGACAAAATTTCAAATAGTATTTATACATTAAGATTTCCCAGTTGGAAAGAAACAAAAACATTGCTAGCTCACTGGGAAAATTTCTAAATTTTAAGTTTTTTTCCTTCAAAATTAGTGTTTTTGTTGCTGCTGCTCTAAAAAATGCTTCAAAATTATTTTTACAATTATATTTCAGACAGTTTATTTAAATGATACATTTATGAGGCATTAATTCATTATATTTTGACAAAAGGCAATTTTTGCACACGTTTAAATCAAAACCCTAAATCTGCCTGTTTCTCCACTTTTGGACCTTATCCTGGTTTTGATGTGACGGCTCACAAATGATGACAAATAAATGTTTGGATCATTTTTCAAAAGAACAAACATTCAAAAACAAGTCTTTTCAGGCAGGTAAGAAAAAATAAATAACTTTTTCAATTAAAAACTTCAGATTTCTTAACATTTATTAATGGAACCATCATGGTCTCTCTTGTGCAGAAAGACAAAACACTAAATAATTTCTTTACTAAAACCTCTGTAACTTTGCTCCAGTTCATTTCAGCAGCATGAATCTTTGCACAGGTGATGTTCACAAGTGGATTTATGGTTTCCAAGAGTTTTAACCTGATTTATTATGGTTTTAAATAGGTTATAAACTGTTTAATGAAAACATTCAGGTGAGTGGAAAAAAAACTGTTTCATCCTCAATATGTCTAAAACCACAACAGCTGTTTTAATATTTACACTTTTAATAAAATCTCCCAGGTGTTGCTTTATTTTGATACCAGGATTATTTAAGTAGAGTTTGTAAATGCTGAGATACTCAGTTACATCTCAACAGGAGCAAAAACTTCCAGAAAACTGCTTGGGTCTGAAGAGGTTAAGAACCTTGATGAACAGTTGAGGTTTTATTTTTGTCTTCAGTAAGTGCGTCTGCCTCTTCAGATCCAGACTCTGTTCCTGCRAAGAAGCGTAAAGAAGAGGAGAAGGAGGAAATCCTGGAGATGATGGAGAACACAAAGAACCCCCTCCGCTGCCCCGTCAGGCTCTACGAGTTCTACCTCTCCAAGTGGTGAGTGAAGTAACCGACCTGTTTTTAACTCGACTCGTGTTGTTTTTAACCTTTGACCCGTTGGCTCGTGTCCCCTCCAGCTCGGAGTCGGTGAAGCAGCGCACCAACATGTTCTACCTGCACCCGGAGCGCTGCTGCGTGCCCAACAGCCCGCTCTGGTTCTCCTCCACGCCTCTGGACGACACCACCATGGAGGCCATGCTGACCCGCATCCTCACGGTCAGAGAGCTGCACCTCAAGAACAAGAAGGCCGTCGTGAAGGACCCGCCCTTTCTACCCACCGAGGACGACGAGTCAGAGTGAAGGACTGAACCCAAGTGACCTTTTTTAGCAGCATTGTGTAAATGTTTGTAAATAAACTGGAGCGTTCACTACATTTTGATCTCATAACCCCGCCCCCCCCGGAGTGCTGAGCGACAGGAAGTCTCTTTCTAAACTTTGTATTAAACAGGAAGTTGCACATTTTTAAAACGCACACTGCTTGGCTCTCAGACTGCTGCTGATCTGTGTTGTGAGCTTTCCTTTCCTTCTGTCGGCTGTGGTTCCTCACGTTTCGGTGCACGCCGGTCTGCCAGGTTTGTTTGGATACGTTTTGTTTCAGCCCGCCCCTCAGACGGATCACTGAAACCAYGGACTTTAACCCTCCTGTTCAGATGCAAACCTGAAGCCAATCTTTAAAATTTAAAATCATAGATCAAAACAAAATGTAGCAAATTATCCTAAAACAACCTAAATTACTTTGTTACCAAGATTTTTCTTTTGATTTTATTCCAATACAAATCTTCAAGTGTSCGATGGATTTATTGGAAGCAGTTTGTAACAGTACGAATTGAATGTAACTGAACTGTAAGCTGTAAGAATTAAAAGAATGAGTTTTTTTTTTTATAAAAGATGGGAACCCCCCACCCCCCTACAAAATACAATGCTTCCAATTATTGAGTTTTCTGTTTATTTGGAAAATTGTTTCATCCCAAATAAACCTTGATGTCATTGGAAATTGTTTCATGTAAATCTTGTTTCCTGTTAGTTTTTAGCTGTTTTCTTAATTGTTTTTGTTTTTTAATAAAATACTTGAAATAAAATATTAGGAGTTTGTGTTTAGTTCATATTCTACAAGTTATGGGAACATTTTTATCCAAAGAAAGTCCTCTTGTTCCACATTTACCAGCCTGGTTAAAACCAGACCCTGTCCWTCACTTTCATGCAGGAGGCGTGGCCTCTGCTGAAGCATGTGTGTGTTGTCGCTGTGAMGGARRCTAAKCTAAGAAGCTAACCGGAAATCGCGTGTGCTGTGAACAACCCTGCTGAGAGAATAAAAGTATCGAGTTGAACGAGACGACTGTAAATGAGAGCTGCTGGTTTGTCAGACAAATTTATTTTAATTTGAAGCCTTGTCAACACAGACTGGCTTCATTCACTTCCTCCACTGCTGTATGCTAACTAGCAGACACTGCGCAGAACATAGACGTCATCAAAACTTCGCCTTCTGTTTGCTGATTGGTCCAGGTAAAAT